CGTCGCGCTTCCGAGTGATATCCCATACCTCCTCAGCCATCTTACGAATGGCCTCCTCGTCACCGATCATGTCGTCTGTCGAGTCCGGCTTCTCAATGTAAGGTTTCTTATGAATACGACTGAGGTCCTCTTGCAGCGCGTCGAGGAGGAAACCGAGGAACTCTTGGGTATCTTGTTGACCCCAGCCTTGGAAGGTGGCGCGAGCACGACCTACTGTGTTCTTGAAGTCGCGGGGACTGACTGCACCTCTCGACTCATTGTAAATCTCCTTGAGAAGTCCACCGTAAGCCATGGCCACCTGTCCTTTGTATCCAAGAGGGTTTCCCTTGTTGAGCTCCTCTTTGTACTTGTCCGTCAAGAAGTATTTTGTCAATTCCTCTACGCTGCGGACGCACTGCAGGGCCGAGTTCATATAGCATGTGTTTCCAAGATTCTGAAGACCTACGGCGCCTAAGCCCCGGCCAGGTTTCTTCTTCTGCTGGGTACGGCCTCTGGTAACGGGCCCTTGAGGAGCAGGGCTGCTTCTTCCACTGCTGGTGGCCTTCAGGCTCGTGGCAGAGCCTCTAGATGCCAGAACCTTGTCATTCTTGCCATTCTTGAAGTAGGTTGAGACCCATGCGTTCTTCGCAATTTCTTCATCAATCACAAGGGTCATGTCTTGCATCAGTCCGTGGACCGAGAGGGGAGAGTTGCCGTTGTAGTTGGGGTTGGTAGTGTGGTCCACCGCAGAGACTACCTGTCGGTCTCCGCCGTTGACCTTTGTGAAGCTAGGCACCTCCACGAGCATACGTTGCCAGGGGCCCGACGAGCTCTCGCCGTCCTTGTCCGGGTTTGGAGAATCGGGCGGTGTGAGGGCAGACCGGGGTGACGACTCTTGCGCCTCGGGCTGTTGAGTAAGCTGCCATACCCGCATCTTACGATCCAGAGGGACACCGGTGAGCTCCTTCAGCTCCTTGTAGAATGGGTGGTAGGGTGTGGTGGCACTCCGGGCCAGGACGAGGGGCTCCTTGCTCTTCAGCTCGTCCTTAATTTTGAAAGGGCTTGCCATGGACCAAAGTCTGTGGATTGTGAAGACGGGCGGGTTCAGCTCGAACATGACGTTCTTTTCGCTCGTCGAGTCGGGCGCCGCGTTGATAGCACTGCGCACAATGGGCTTCTGTCCCTCGCCGACGCCATACCACTCCGAGACGAGCGTCCAGGCGTCTTCCGGGAAGAGCTCGCACTCCTCCATGCCAGTACCAGGCTTCATCCGGACAAAGTCGTCACCGCTGGGCTGGGACAGAACCTCGAGAATGAGATCGGAGTTATCCACAGGGCCTAGCGGCTTGTCTGTCGTCTCTTTCTTGGCAAACTTGGGGTCTCCGCCAAGCGCCAAAGCCTTTTCTACCCATGATCTCGACACAACGTATGCGACATCGCCAATTTTCGGGGGTTCGTCGTTGAAAGCCTTGAGGAGGGTCTGAATGGTCTTGATTTGATCCTCGAGAGGGGGGAGATCTGCCGGAAAACCCTTGGTCAGCGAAAAGCCATCTTTGTATTCTCACAACCGTAGATACTCGTACCCTTGTCATTGGATTTTTTGGATGCTCCCTTGGCAACATTATCGGGCAAGTCGATACTCATGGCCCTAGGCAAGTGTGTATTGGAAGAAGTTGGGGCTGACTCGGCATCCTCGGCTGACTGTTGCTGCTGCTGCTGGTTGGTGGAGGCCATCTCCACGTCCTCCTCCTTCATACTGACATCGGCGTCGGGATCCATGCTGGAGGCTCTTCGTTTCAAGGGAGAGGAGGAACGCTGGTGAGGGTTGGCATCACTGGTCATGATGGCGCGGCGGGAAACGTTGAAGGGAGACCGGCTTCTGGCTGAATGAGACGTCAGCGCAGTGCCAGTCTCTGTGCCAGAAATATCGCCTCCTCGGTCGCTGTCAATGGACAGGTCGGCAACACCACAAGGTGATGAGGCGGCTGTGCTTGAAGCGTACTCGGCAGAGACGTGGGAACCGGTCTGCAGGCGCGCAGGTAGGCTTGATGCTGGGTACGAGTCGCCTCGAAGGTAGGTAGGGGTCGACAGGCCGTCGGTGGAGTGGGCGGCAGAGAAGGAGAAGGCTGGATCGTCGTTTGGCTCGCACGACGGCAGGACGGTGTCGGGAGAAGATGGATTAGATGTGTCGTCGGTGCGCGTCTGATTGCGAGAGATCTTTCTCTTCTTTGAGGAAGACGTGGTGAAGGTGAGCTGCCTGTGCAGCTCCGGAGTGGCAGCGGGGGAAACTTGGGTGCGGTGACAGAGGGCGGGAGAGGGCGTATTGCATGTGTGGTGCAGCCAGATCCAGGACCAGATTCGGGTTCACAAGAGGATCCGGTTCGATTCGAGGCTCAGGCCAGCAGTACTGGACCTCGTGGGGAAGAATCGACGGTACCTCGGGCACTGTAATCCTGTGAGGTAAGGTAGGGCAAGCTGCAAAGCCGATGGGGGTGTGCAGGTGCAGGTGCAAGTGCAAGTGCAGTGGCAGGTCCTGTCGGGGAGAAAAGAGAATTAATTACTCCGTACAGCTGAGGACGTCCAGACACAGACAGACGACTGCACTTTTGGGGGTGGGCTGTGGGGTGGAGAGAAGAAAATGGGAGGGTCCGATGGAATGAGATGCAGACAGTGGAAGAGGGTAAGGTGACTCGTGAGGGCAGCGGGCAGCAATTGGATCTGGATCTAATTGCAGCTGGAGGGCAAGAGCTGTGCTGTGTTTTGCTGTGCTGTGCTGTGCCGTGCTGTAAATGCGCTGTGCTGGTCCAGTCTAGGTCGGTGTCCCGGTGTGGGTGTGTAAAGGGAACGTGAGCTGGTGACAGGAGGGTGAACGGATGTGGGTGTGTTTGACTTGGGGCAGATTAGAGATGCCCCAGTCCAATGCCTTCTGTCTCTACTTTATGACCTAAGGAAGGCAAGAGGGATGGGAAAGAGCGAGGAAGAGTGGTAAAAGAGACTAAACGAATTGAACCGAGAGAGAGGTGCGTGGTTTGAAAGGTCCGAGGTGTCACTCAGACAAGTCACAGTCTATCTAGGTACTTGTCCCTACTTTGCATAGCAAGTTTTTACCAACAGAACTGCCATACTGCATATACACAGATACAAAGCAAGCAACGCTGCTGCTTTTATTTCACAAGGTACTTCCTTAGTAGTGCAACATCCATTTCCCTGGGCTGTTGGGGGAGCCTACCTGCCAGTCCAATGCTACAAATACAGTAAAGGCAACAAATTCTGAATGCGGACTTTGGGGTTTTAGTCAGTGCGGGACAGAGACTTGACGCACGAGTTTAGACCATTTCCACCACCCCCAAAGCATCTCAGCTCGCCCCCCCCCCCCCTTCTCTCTCTCTCTTTTTCTGTTTTCTATATTGGTCTAGGATCGGGGGGTGGCCTGGCCTGACCCGACCCGTGCTGACCTGACGATTGGACGAATGACTTGCCAAGGCATCCAGAGTGCGACTGCGGCTTGGAGGCTCTTTCTAGGAGGAAGTGGTGGATGTCATTAGACATATTTCAGTCCCTTCCCTTCGTCTGAATAAATGCTCTCTGTTGGCAAAATCCTGGCCAGCTTCAAGGTACCACCAGCTCAGATTCTTCCTATCACCTAGCTTAGTATCGGCTCTGCTTGCCCTGACCAAGACCAAATGAGATGTCCCGTCTATTTGTATAACTACTCGTAGGGAGTACACAGCCAAGGGCAAAAGAGCAGGATTCCTCATGCCAACTCCAATTCGTCCAAAATGGGACCAAAGAAACCTCACAAAATTTTCGATTCCCCCCACTGAGACCTTCAACACTTTGGGGGGGGGGGGGGGGGGTAGGAAAAAAGGAAAGAGACGGTCAAGAAACTTCCAGGGAAGGCACATATTCTACATTGGAGAAAGAGGGGACCGTGTATGGTGAGAGGGGCAGAAAGAAAAGCAGGACAAAAAAAAAACAAGTCTTTTTTCAGATTCCCCCCGATCTTGTGCTCCTTCCTGCAAGTTCAGCCCACTATCCATCCATCCCCACACTCTAAGTACCTTGTTATCGAAGAAAGTTAATTCTTTCTGAGTCACAAGTACAAGAATACAGTTTTAATAAAACAGTATAGTGCCCACCCAGCACTTGAATTGAGATGCTTTTTCAAGCTTGCAACTCAACTTCCCGTAGGAAAGGAAGGAATTGACGACCATTGACTGCAACGTCCGTTTTTTGAGAAAAATCAGTTCCACACGAATCTCGAGTCCAAGCGCCTTCAGCCCCCCACCATGCATCCCCATCCCACCTGACGTCAGCTCAACCAGCACTTTCATCGTCTCGGAAAGAGCATACCTCACTGACAGTGATCTGCTGCCCATAGTCCCATACTTTCAGGTAGGCTATGTAAATAGGTACTATCATGCATGAAGTCCAACTTGTTCACCATGTCCTACTACGTATACATACATTCTCATTTTCCATCAACCCAGCCAGAGATACACTCGAGCACTCGCCACTTTCTTGTCCATAGCTGACTCGTGCAGTCTGCTCCTTAAGCAGGGCTCACTCGGTAGTTGTTACCCGGAGTAATCATCACATCCCGTGAAAGTTCCATAGGGATAGCATGCGAGAACTTGACTTTTTCTATTCGACCTCGCTTTCGCCAAAGCTATTTCAGGCAGCAATGGGAGAAGGCAGTCTTCCTTTCCGTTTGTCTATGTGGACAGACGGAACCGGGGGCTTTAAGAGCTATTAGGGTTCTATACTATGTCGTGAAGCCTCATAACATCATGCTCCCTATATTCCATCCATGATTGCCTGTACACCCCGGGACCGAATCCGACAGCTATGTCTCTCCAAACTCTTGTTCGACTGAAGACAACGTGGCGTGACCTGAGTCCGTTGTCTCTCTAGCAAATGCGTCTTAAAAAACAACTACCGAAAGTCTCAACGCCGCCTGTGTGTGTACTTGACCATGTATGCGTGAACATCTTAAACAGACTTCATCCTCTTCTCTCTCCTCACAGCTTGGCATCAGTGTCTTCGTACTCGGTCAAATCCTTGGCAGGTCGCGCACCACTAGTCGCAACAAGGCTGGCTCGGAAACTGCGAACGTCTTCGATAACGACTGGTGGAGAATCACTTGACGGCAGTGACTCTTCTTCTTTACTGACGCCATTGACCTTGGCCTCGGCACCCTCCTTGGCCGGTGCCGTAGCCTGTGCGCGCAAGTGCACCGAGAGCTTTGCCCGCGTTGCCGATCCGGGCTTGATGTACGTCTGGAAGAACTCCAACATGTCGGCCTTGGTGAGCGTCTTGATGTGGGCAGCGTCTTCTTGAGCTGTTGTGATAACGTCAGCACTTTCCTTATTCCTACATTTATCTTGGGCAACTTACGGAGCTCGAAGTCGTAATATTCACTGGCAATCTGGGCCCAGTGTCTGCTACTCTCCTGGTCCAGATTCTTCAACTTCTCGAGCCTCCGGACAATTAGACTGCGTTTGTGACCCTCAAAGTCTGCCTCAGACATGTTGTCCAACGTGTTGGAGAACAGGTTGAGGAAGGCCTCGATTCTCGATTCAAGGTACTCGGGTGTCCGTTCACTTTGAATGATAAACCTGAAGCCGTACGTGGTAGAGAAGCTTCGAACTCCACTAAAGACGACATAACCGAGCTGCTCCTTCGTTCGCAGCTGGTCAAAGGCTGGCTCGTGAGCCATTTGGTCTAGCAACATCGTCTTGGCTCGTACCATTCTATCGCCCTTGTCGCCGACATAGAGCCAAACTTCGATGCAGTGGTTGACATTGGCCGGATCCTTGAGCGTCTTCTTGTATACGTAGTTCGATCCAGGGGGGATAACCAATGACCGAATCACTGGCCACTGGGGTCGCGGAAGGACGCGAGGCTTCAAGATGGTTTCAATCATGTCGGTGAGCTTGAGAGCGTCCTCCTTGTACAAATTGCCGTGGACATAAGACTCAATGTGGACCTGCGAAAGCATCTGCTTCTTGAACTGCCGGACGTCCTCAGCCGTAATGTTAGGCAGCTCAGCCAGGTATTCCTCCACAACATAGTCGCGCTCAGAGTTCAACCACGTTGTGTAGTCAGAGACCTGGCTGAACGGCTGCTGTAGCTCCCAGTTGTTGTATCCACGATTCAGGCGCTCCTTGATAATGTCGAATCTCTCGTCTCTGATCTTCAGATCCCTGATCGTGATCAAAACCTGCTCCAGGAGTACCGCCAGCTTGTCATTGTACCCGCTTAGGTCAAGGAACAGGCCTCTGGCGTCGAGCGAGACGCTGTACTGCAGGCCTGCAAGCTCGGCATCGTACGAGTACGCCTCCAACGCATCGCGTACCAGATCGGTGAAGAACCTTGCCTTGACAGCATTCTCCGCGGTAGAGTAGATATTGGGGTTGCGACAGCTGATGACCAAGTTGGCCTTGGGCACCCAAAAGGTGTCATCCTTCTTGAACCACGTCCGAGCGAGGCCATCACTTCGGACGACACGCGGCGACAGAGCCGGCTCCTTGACCTCCTTCTTCTCGACCTCGAGCTTCGTAGGGATGAAGTTGTTCTTGTGAGGAAGATGAAGCTCGGAAAGTCTCTCCGACGCAGGGCTTGAGACGGCCTTCTTGATCTCGGCCATGAAGTCCTCGGGGATCTTTTCGTGGCGGTATTCGGTACCGTACCACTTCTCCTTCTGATTCCAGTCACCGGGAAACTTTTGTGACACAATAGTCATACGGAAGTTGTCTGGTCTCAAGCACGCCAAGGCCTTTTCGATCAAACCAGAATCAAACTTCCTCAACCGACTGTATCCGCTGAGTAGCCATTCCCGCGGAAGAGGCTTCTGCATGACAGAGCTGATCTTGCTCGTGAATCGGCTTGCTGGAGTCTTTTGCTTGAATTTGAAGTCGACGTCGGCCATGCCCTTCTGTTCGTCAAAGATCCATTCCTGGGGTGGGGCCTCCTGGAGAAGCGCAACATATTGAAAGAAGACCTTGACAATCTCCTTGTAGTTTTTGAGACCCTGTAGCGTACGTCAGCATTCGAGGTGGGGGAGTGTCAAAGCGGTGGTCATCTCATTGCAGGGCTTACCTCCTCTGTCAGGCGAATCTGACAGTCGAAAATACCAGGAGAACCCGGACAGACGGGGTAAGCACCGGCACTCAAGCCATTGGCCCAGCCCTTTTCCTTGACGTAGGCCATGATGCTACCAGGGCCCTCGTGACCGATCAGGTGGCTCACGTAGCGACTGGGTTGCGACTCGTACATCTTTTCCTCGTCGAGGAAAGGGAAGAAGAGGTTCAGCTCGCGAGAGTCCATGACAGGCTTAGCAAAGACTTGCATACCCAGCTCACTCTCGCGGAAGGGCACCTCAGCCTCCCACCTATTGGGCGCTAGGTCCTTGTTGGGGACTCCGGAGAAGAACTCGGCAACCCATGTCTCGAGAACATCCAAAGGCTCTCTTCCCAGAACCACCAACTTCATACGGTTTGCCGAGTAGTGCTTGTCGTGAAACTCCATAAACTTTGCGCGGACATTGACACCCTTGGACTCTGGGTCTTCCTTGAGAACCTCGAGATTGCCGGTCGAGAAGTGGCAAAATGGATGCTTCGGGTTGGAAAGAGACTTCTCCAGCTGGTGGAGTCGCCATTGGTCATTCTGCAGGTTCTTCTTGTTTTCCGAGTCCACCGCGCGCAGCTCACGATCGAGGGTCGACTCGAGGAACAGGGGCTCAATGAAGAATTGCGCAAAGCGATCGAGTGCTCCCTTAAAGGGCGAGGGGTTCTCGGCTGTTGGCTCCTGATCGTTGGCAGGCTTTGCAGAGACGTCGAAGAAGTAGTTAGTCGAGGTTGCGCCAGTGTAAGCGTTGGAGCTGCCCGAGTTGTTGGAGAGGTACTGCGAGTATTCGTTTTCTATGGGAAACTTCTTGGTACCCATGAACAGTAACTGCGTATGCAAGTGTCAGCGTGACCGAGAGCGGAAAAGAGGTTGAGGGTGCGGATAGGGAGATTCTGTGTCTAGGCAGAGTCTCGGGGAGGGGGCCGTACATGTTCGACGGCGTGGGCCATTCCTGGCATTTCCTCCTCGTCGCTGAAGTTTCCAACATTGCAGTCTAGGGCGGCGCTGGCCTTGTCGGTCTCCGGGTCATGTACCAGCAAGGCCTCGAGCTTGTTGGACAACCTCACGACTCGGTAGGTCCGATCGTCGAGGGAGGGGGTCTCGAGGTGATCCGTCACCCGTTCGACGGATTGGGGCCTAGGCTCGCGGTGAGGTATAGCTGAGCCGGCCGGAAGCCCGGCGGCAGCGGTATCGGTGTTGGGCATGGCAACGATCTGCTTGCCGTGATTTATGTGAGATGAGATGGTGGGTTTGCTACTGATGGAGCGGGAGGTTGTATAAGAACGGAACGAGATGGTGGTGTAGGTGGGCGACTTTTCAGAGCAGAAGGTACGGCACGGGGCTGCAGCAAGACGGTTCGGGAGACGACTGCTGATGGCCTGGCACGTTGTAAGAGACAAAAGCTCAGGGCGTGTATGCTTAGTGGGGGAGGAACGCCACTTTTGAAGTAAGAGAGAGAGGGACAGGGACGTGGACGTGGACGCGGACGTGGATGATGTCGGGCGGTTGTGGATTTGTCGCAGGCTCTGGCGCGGGCTCAGGTTGGAGGCTACGGGACGCAACATGCAGCAGATGCAGCCAGGACGGGAGAACTGGAGAAATAGAGAGAGCAAGGTAAGGTGAGTTAGGGCTGAGGGGTAAAATATGCAAACAAGTCGAAAAGAAGAAGAAAGAAGGAAGAAAAAAAGGAGCTGCAAATAGGAGGCGGTATGTAGAGAGTATGTAGGTAAGGTAAGGTAAGGTACGGATGGATACAAGTCGGTTGGTTTGTTGGTGCGAGTGCGAGTGAGTGAAAAGTGTCAAGACTCAAACCTGGAGGTACAAGTAAGAATACCTTGGGTAACTGAGGTACGCTACCTTGCGTAGGCAACGGAACACAGTCAGTGGAGGTACTTTAGCCGTGGGACCGGGGATGGGGACGGAGTACCTCAGCAGTCAGTTGCAGTCAGTCGCAATCGCAGAGGACCAAAGATGGGAGAGGATGAGGGGAGTTGCGACTGGGGGCGGCCGGGAAGATGCTGGCGGGTTGGCTTGCTGTGCGTGCAGTGCGTGCAGCGCAGATGCAGGCGGGGGGAGCAACGAGAACCTACCTTGAGCAGGTGCAGTGGATGTGCAGCTAAGGTGCAGGGAATCGGAAGGAAAGAGCGGAAACGTTTGGCGCAAGTTGCGCCTTCCAATGACACAGGGCATCCACTGTTAGCACTCGCCGCAACTTGCAATGGAACAGCGCTGACCGGTGTGCAGGCACCCAGGCAGTGACCAGTCAGCAAGACTTCCAGTACTTTCGAGGGTCCAGTCTAGGTACCATAGGTACTTGAGCTGGGGTGGAAGGAGGGGAGGGGGCCCACCGGGGGGAGAAGAAAGCGAGGCGAGATGGGGGAAAGACTCGAAATCTGTCTTTCGAGCTGCTGCTGCTGCTGCTACAGACGACACCTCACATCTCACTCATCTGACGCGAATGATGCGACGACTCATGCCGACTGGGCAGCGGCGACAAGTGAATGGACAGGCCACAACTACATGCAACAGCAGTTACAACTGACAAGCAAGCAGAACGAGCATCCCCAAGACTGAGCAACACAACCTCAAGGCTCACCATGAAGCACACTACCACTACCAACACCAACACCAACACCACCATCACCGCCGCCACCGGCAATCTCAGATTCAGAACCAAAGAAAGGGACCGTGCCCACTTACCTGTGGAGACGCAGGGCGACGCCACGACGCTACCGCCGTACGACCCAAGGTACCGACCAGACGGAATTTGGAAGCCATGGACGGAAGCGGACACTCTGCTTGCTGATCTTTGAGTCTGGGCAAACCCGGCAAACCAGCCTACGGTTATACTATGCTGCTCTGCTGGGAAGGTAGCACTCGTCAGTCAGACCTACCTACTTCGCCAGGCAGGTAGGCTTGCGTAAGGTATCATGGCGGCAGTGGCAGCGGCAGCGGCAGTCCATTGTCCAGTGGTTACAGTCACTCACCATCGTCTCCGCTTCCGCCTCCGCCTTACCTTTGAACCTGATATTCGGTTCGCGGTGACGGAACCGCGGTTCTAGCTGGAGAATAGCATGGAAAAGCCGGAGAAGACGGCTCCAGCGGGATCATGTTCACAAGGTGCGACAACCGGGCTGCTGCTGGTGGTGCTACTGGGTTGGCGTTGTTGCAACAAATGTGCTGGGCCCATTTTTTGCTACAGCTGAATGATTTGATAACATGATGTTGATGACGGCTTGTTGATGGAGACTGCGGAAGACCCGAAGGTGTGGGCTGCCGTCTCTGAAACATCCGCCTACTGCCGTTCCCGTTCCGTCTACCACTGTCGAGGTATCCAAGGTGCGAAGATGGGCGGGCAAGGCGGGATCTTTGGAAAGCTGGAATGTTCTGAGCCCATTGCCCTAGGAACGTATCCGTAATCAATGCCGCTCGCAAAGCTGACGCAAAGCCCCTGCTTGATCCCATGGCCTAATCGCATTCCTCCTGGAGTCGGGCGCGGGATGTGCTCAGGTTCAGCTGTACCAGTAGCTGGCTGTGAAGCATGACATCTGATATATGTGTCAGACCTATTGTCGGGCCTTTGACTTACATCCCCGTCATCTGCCCTCTTGGCAGCAAAAAGACGAGAAATACGAGAGTCATTTCAGACAAGAGATCAACATGGACGCGTCCAGTTGGAACTGTTCCTGAGTAGGAAGCCGTGAAAGCCTCAATTCCATCACACCCTCCCTCTTGGGGTATTATGGCCTTGTCGCTGGGTTACCCCAGCCGCCTATGGCTCCACGTGGGAAAAGAGGCGGTTGTCAGGTTCCTTTGAAACGAGGCACACACAGTTGTTCGGCGAGAAAAGCCAGCGCAGCTGATTAATGGCACACAAGGAGCCAGCAACCCGGTGCTATATGAGCCGCATCTTAATTTTAGAGGTTGGAGAATGGAAAAGACACAAACATCGGTCTCCATATCCGTACACCAGAATGTAGGATGCAACTACTAGGCCCAGTGCAGCTACTGCGCAAAGGCCCAGTAGTCAGTCCCCTAACCCCCTGGTGCCCAGGCTGCAAAGCAATGTCGCCGTCTTTGGGTTGCAGGACGGCAAAGTGTTGCGTCGGTCATCGGGTGGCTTGCTTCCAATGATTTCGCGTCTTATCCCTCTTTCACCTGCCCAACTACGGTAGGGCAAGCGTGGCCATCCCAATTTCGCCGCGGGTCTTTGGCGGTGGTGGGATCATTTGATATCGAAACCGAATGATATCGACAATCCCTTGGGGGTATCTTTTGGGCCTGTGGACGCGGGGCGGCGGGAGCGGACCGGCCTGGGGAAGTAAGGGACGGGCGGCGACAAGGGGGACCTTTGAGCTGCCGCGGCACCGCGGTCACCGGTGTAACTATCGAGCAATGCTATACGGATACAGGGGTCGTTTTCGGGTTATTCTTTCCAGCATGCCGACCACCGCCCTCTCGATATTGACTGGTTGCTGTTACGAATACTGCTGCTCGCCTCGTTGAGGTTGTCTTCTGTTGGGGGTCACTTGATGATCTTGCTCTCGCTCTACCGTGGTTCACCGAAGGCTTCTTCTGCAGAAGAAGCAATGGGCGCGGGTGGTAAACTCGGGCTGGCCCGCTGTCTCTGGTAATTTCCCCTGATAATCTGTTCTCGCCCTGCGGTCGATTTTGTTCTTTCTTGTTCTCGATCCCACCCTCCTCGGCCAAGGTGCCATTCGGATGTCGACCGTTGCGCGGGATGGGAAAGTTGATGCTCAAATGCAAGAATACGTGGCGATGTTAGGGGTACAGATTGTCCGGCCGGGCTACGGAGTACTCCTCGAAAGCCTCGCAAAAGGGACCATGGTCCATGTTTCTGAGGTTCTCCCTTCCCCTGTTAAATCCCGTCAGCCCCAGTTGGGTTTGTTGGCTGATGAGCAAAGATCAAGGGCAAGGCGGTGACAAGGGAAACAGAGCCCCTGTGCCCGTAGTCGGATGTAGCAGTTTTCGGGTGCCAATCGCCGAAGAAGAAAAACTGGCGAGACAGGCGGACAGGGGGTGGGCATGCGAATGTTTCGCCGTTCGGGGAGAAAACATACAACCCCCCTTGTCTTGCGTCTTTCCCGGCAATCTGGTTGCGTTTTGGGTTCCCAGGGCCGTCAGCACCGTTCGGAGTACTGCAAAACACCTAGGAAAGCTCAGACTTGGTTGGCTCGCGGCGATGTCAACTTGAAAGTACTAGAGCCCGAACAACGTCGAGATAAGCAAAACTGCGCGGGTTGTAAGCAACTTGCAAAGTAGTCAGTCCAGCTCGTCGGTTTATCCTTCCATCAGGGGTGCAATTTGGATACAGACCCGAGTGAAAGAGGGGTCGTCGGCAACTTACAGTCATGGTTCAAGATCCCATGTTCCATACCCATGAAGCTCCAAACTTGGATCGCCAGGACTGTTTGTTGGGAATACTCAAGCCAGTATCGTGTAATACTGCTGTCAGCACCACCTAGGTCAAGGTGATATTCCTCGTCAACCCAATCGCCCACACCAGGCAAGGGCCCACCGTGGGAGACCATACCAGTATCCTGCGGACATTGTGCATGGATGGAGCCATCGTGGTAGTGTGGTGCTGCTGTTCGCATTGGACGAACCTAGTCTGCCACACTATCTTGCTCACATGCTTCTTAGGATACATAAGAGGCGATCGCCTGGATCTATTGGTATGACAATCCACAATCACTCACATCTCGATTGGAGCAACAGATACCAGCACACGTGTGCCATGAGAGCCTTGACAGATTAGTGAGCATTCGCTATGCAGCCTCAAACTGTGGGCGGCGATTCGGATTCGATCCGCCTGGCGGGATGCCATGCCACTCCCATGCATGGCCGACTGGATTTCTCGGCATACCTACAGTCGCTCTGGCCGGTTTTGACAGACAGCAGACATGGCGTTGATTGTTGATCTTATATCGACCCTACAGCCTCCCCACCTGCATCTTTGTAGGGAATCTGAACTTTACGGGTATCCTGATCGCGCAACCCACATTCCGTGTTGATACCGACACGTTAATATGGGATCATCAAAACAGAAGCTGTAAGTATTCGTACTGTGCAGGTTCAATAATCTTCCCGGTGCCTCAAGCAAGCGATCCGCGGGTGGCCAAACAAGCTGTGTTCAGAAATCCACAGAAGTCGAAACTGCATACCATCCATGATCAGTGTCCGCTAACAGAAACAGACCATGTAACCATGGCCCCACCCTCGCTTCCACGAGTGAGTCTTCCACAGCTGTGCTGACCATCAAACCTTATGGGCGCCAATGACTTTGAGATCCCCCGATTCCATAACCGATTCGTTGCACTTCTCCGGATAACAGGAAAGGCGAGCTGAGCGAACTGGCGGGCGTCGGACGTAACTCCGAGGGCAGTCGATTCGACCAAGCCGTCTATTGTTTCTCGGTACGGATACTCAAGTGCGCGAGTACATTTTCTGGTCCGTCGTTCTGGATCGGCGAGTCATTCCGTCTTCCCGGGCGCCCACTTTGGGTATTTGTTGAACCCGCAACGAGCACGACCCGGCTTGTCCCTCTTGCAGACCGCCGCCCGTCAATAACTGACCGCTGCTGAACCATGTCACCTTTTACTCCTCTCCTCACGTCTGACGTTGAGTCCCTCTTCTCAACCCCTCTTCACTGCGAAAATAATAAGGCCCAGTCGCCTAGTTCCCAAGCAAGTGTGCGGCTGCGCTATCCACAATAGGGAGATACGGCCGTCCCTTGTCCAGGTCTGACGATATTCCACACATTCGGACCTAGGTACCTAGGTACCTTGCGGGGATGTTGGACTACCATCCTCTCCTCGCCCTCGAAGCCCGGCCTGTCATGACGATCGCGACCCGAACTTGGTTTCGCAAAGGTGAACAGTTATGAACGAATTTAAGGAACCTCGAGCAGAGCCGATTCGAGGTTTGTAGTTCAAAATACGGAGAGCTGCAGCCAAAATTGAACGCCATTGGGCCAAAAGAAACCTACCTCCTCTCGCCGTTGTCCCTCTCAAAGTGGCAACCCTAAAGAGGCCGTGTTTCTAGCCCTGGCTATGATAACGATCGTTAACTGCAACTTGGATTGCAACCTGTACTAAGGTTTCCGCCGTTTCAGTGGCACTTGACCATCGAGCTGATTTGCCGATCAAGATCCTTTGCATCGGTTTAGCATCAAGTAGATGTATATTCCCAAGCCGTGATTGTCCATATGCAGCGACAGTGTTTTCCATACTTTGCGATGGGGATTACCATTCGACACCAATGTTACGAAAATGGCTCCTGGGGACTCGAGCGTTGACTTTTTGCGACGATCAGCGTGTCCATAACACGGTAATGGCTCTCAAGGAGGGTCGCAGCTATGGCTGGGTCACCAGCGGCATATCCTTGGAGTACCCTACACAGCAGATGTAAGCTTGTTTATGCGATAATAACATGATCCCGCGATCCCTTTGTACATGAGATTCGGTAGAGAAGAGATGGAGAGTTTTTGCGGGCGAAAGCATGTCACCCCACCATCCAAAGTTCGAGTGTCCCGGGGCGCCGGCTGGTAACCCCCAGAGTTCCCGCTGTGCCGTTTTGGGTGAGCCGCTTTGAACCACGTAGGAGATCGACATCTCACACGCGGGCTTCTTTCCCGTGTCCGAGGAGGCTAAGAAACGAAAGGTCGGCCGATGCATTAGATTCTCATCGAGATGTAGGAAAACGTGTCGACAGGGCTTCTGTTCGCCTCATCATCGGCAATTGTGGTTGTTTTGCCCGGCTGCCATCCCCAAAAAGACGATTGACGAAGGGGGCAGATTGTGTTCCAAACCGGGCAAACGCGCCTGTTTCGCGGACCTTGATTTCTTGTCAGTATATGTGCAGACGGTAAGGCAGCTGTGTGTAGCCTGGCGCCTGGCTCTGGAGACAGCTCATGCCGTCTATCATTCAAGTTGATCAGCTTCTGAAGCTCAAGACGTTTAGATCAAACAGACCGAGCCAGTTCGTTGGCACCAAGGCCATTGTTCGGCCATATTCGATGCGCAAAAACAGGAGATTGGGTTGGTGGTCATTTCTTTTCCATTCAGGTTGCCGGTCCATGTCGGGCTTTCGTAGCCCGGCGCGGGAGGCAGTGCGTATCTACGTGTTGCATTGATCGAATGTCCGCTCAGCAGGATTCTTCTGTCAATCCCATAACCAATTTCCTCCGTGATCTCTCGCAAGGCGAGAGCCCGCTGTGGGATCGACAAAAAATTTGCTCCTATTTCGCGAAGCCGGAATAGAAGAACCGGTCAGCAAGCCAAATCCGGGCACGAGGGGTATCTTGAAAATAAAAAAGCACGCTTGGTAAGACAGAGGTTCATCGTGATCTATCAAACGACTTCCGCTTGCCTCCTCGTCGCTGTGGGCAGTCGGCGGCCCTGTGCCCCGGCTTGTTGCAGTTGTGGCAGTTGAAGGGCGCGTTCGGTTTTCCTGCTCCGGAGAAGCCGCCTGTAGCACCGCCGGAGATAGATGCCAGCTTATTTAATTTGACTTCCTTCTTCATTCTCTTCTCCCGGAATTCCTTGGCCTTCATAGACTCGCTTGATTTCTTCGCTTGTAGATTGACCCTTGTGCGCCCCTGGCCGCCAGACGCGAGGCCTTTTACGGCTTTCGGGGGTGTTTTAATCGAAGCATCTTCGTCGCTTGAGGAGGCTTCATCTTCGTCACTGGATTCATTACTGGAGTCGTCGGAATCGCTAGAGCCCTCGGAGTCGCTCGACTCGGGCTTCGTCTTTTTGGGTGTCTCCTTCTTGGCATCCTGGCACGAGTTAGCTAGGTTATCGCAAGACCTATGGTTTTGGCATTACCTTAGTAGCCTTCTTTCTGTTACTTTCAATTTTCATCCTCCCAACCTGTGCAGTGGCAGTGGCTGCGGCTTCCTCCTCTCCATCGGCAACATCGATATCCGCGTATCCTACATAAACAATGTTCGGCGGCGCATTCTCTGTCTCGGTGGACTTGCCCCAAGCACCATCAAGAACCCAGTGCGTGTCTGCAAGCTCTGCTCTAGACGCCTCTAATGCCGACAAGCGCTTAGCTTCTTGTTGCTTCAGAGCCGCCTGAACGGCTGTTTGATCGAAGGAGTGAAAGTCGCCGGTGAGGGGCGAGTTTTGGAACTTGCGCCGCTTAGATGAGGGCTCTTCGGGAGAAGGTTCCGGCGTAGCATCCGAGGCAGCAGCTCTTTGCATGAACTTCATCGTCAACAGACGAGAGGATATACCTCTACCCGGAGGTGTTTCGGGGACCATGTTGGTGCTCGGCGGCATTATGGCAATCTGCCTCGGGAGTTCGCTAAGATTAGTTGGGATACAAATGAGTATAATGTGACAATTTTAATTGTTCAACGAGTGTTAGAGTCCAAGGATCGTGCTTCTGGGCTGTGTCGGGAGTCAAGAGTAGTATGATGAAGTCAGCTTGGGCTGTGGTACGCAAAAGTTGGAAAGAACCAAAATTCTGGTATTCTGCCGTGGTACATGCAAATGCGCGGCCACACCGCCCGCATCACACGTCTGGTCCGTGCACATAACTTCATGGGACCCCGCCGTGCCTGCTTCAACTTTCTCAAGTACGAACATATAAACCGAAAGTAAGGCAGTTGAGATTCTTTGAACCTTCCTCAGAGAATTCTCGCTGTCTTGGCCTCACGTCTCTGATTCTCACTACTGGATTTTGCTCTTATTACATCCCTTATCCTGCTATTCTCATATCTTGGACGCTTGCTCTCGCTGTTGTTCTCTCAATCTGCCAAGTCTCTCTGAGGTCATCTCAAAACACTCTGGTAAACCGGTATCCCGCCATGTTCCACCCAGTATCATCTTTGCAAGGCCCGACGCACACGTAAAGATTCTCGCCATCCCTATGGAACCATAAATTCAGAGATTGGGCATTTTACGGGAACGATTGATCACTCACCATGTCCATTGAAGCCGGCACAAACCCATTGTCCTGGGGAGCCATCAACCCTCCCGATAAAAGGCACCATGTCGGGCGTCATGCCAATGATACCTGTCCATGTGTGCTGGAGTCCCTCACCGTGGCGCAACTTCTCTGGTCTACATTCTGGTAGACAGTCTTGGAAGTTGGCAACGGCATCATCGCGAATTTCCGTGCTAAACTCGCTGTCGTCGGCTGTCTGTCTTTCCGCATACGCCGCTTGACTGACTTTGGGGCTTGCCGAGGCGGACCCGAGGATGATGATGCCGTCTGAACGGCGTTGATTGACCGAGTAGAACCAACGCAGGCCCCTACGCAGGGAGATGGTGCTCTGCAGCACCTTGCTGCCGGTGAGAGCCACAGGTGGTACGAAAGCATGGGCCTGCGCGCGCTCTGGTGTGACGAGGGACGATAGCTGCGGCAGCAAATGTGGTGCGAAGGCATTGGTGCAGTGAATGACTGTTGGCGTCGTTACAGTACCTCGTGGCGTATTGACATCCCAGAGAATCTGCTCTGCGCCAGATGATGATGGTGTCACCGAGATTGCTGGGCAATGGGTCAGGAACTGCACGCCTTTGCCAATACATTGGGCCAGGAGCCATTGGGCCAGTTTGGCAGGATGGCCAGAACCTGCTGGCCATTCGTAGGCGCATAGAGCTTGCGGGACGCCTGTTTTTTCTCGAGCTTCCGCGGCAGGGTAAAACTTGATGTGAGAAACGTCGCCGCCAGCACTCTGGTATGCCTCGAAGCTCTTGGCATTATGGTCTGCAAATTCCTGAGTCAGGCAAACGTCAAAGGTGGTCGTCGGGACAAAATCGAACGGCACGTTGTACTTCTTTACGAAGTTGTCGACTGCAAGAAACACGGTCCTCTCATTGGCGATAATCTTCAGGGCCTGCTCCTCGCCGTGGAATGATTTGTAGGCTGTGAAACCGCGAAAGGCGTCTGGTCGGATATGCCCTGCATTGCGAGAGCTGGCGCCGCCGGCTGCTTCCCTTGCTTCCAGTATGACGATGTCTGGTCCTGTTACACCACCCTCGACCAACTTAAAGGCTGTTAGTGCGCCGGAGATTCCTGAGCCGATAATGACGTATTTCGCGGTTCTCGGTACGAGAGCTTCATCGTTGTAATTGAGGTAAGGGTATGACCTGGTTGTCTGTTGCCAGAACGATAGGCACGGATTGGTAACGGGAAGGCCAGTCATCATGAGTTGACTCTTTAGGGTAAGCAACTGTGGTTGACTTTGTCGAGCATACATCGCTACCCGCGTATGGAACACCTCGCCTTATTAAGATGAGTTCATCGTGAGCGGACAGCCTCCACTGATGCTTAGACACTCTCTTTCGAACCTGCCTTCGGCCTTGTAAAACCGGTAGGAGATGTCCGCGAGTCGATCCCCTTGGGTGAGATAAGCCTGGCGATAGCCATGATTCAACCTTTGCTCAAATCTGAGAGGTGTGTTGTTTGTAGCAATTTGTCGGGTACGTACAGGTGGGGACGAAGTCGGAGGCCCTTCCGATCCTCTGGCGGCGAACATCGCTCCGCTCCCGCACCGATGGGGCCACAACCTCTCAACCCATTTCATGTCTCAAACCGAATATGGCAACTCGATGCATCAGCTACTGCAAGTAGATGCGCACAGATTACCCTTTTGTGATACAATCACAGTGGTCCGATCTACTTTGTGACAAGGGCATGGAAAACCTGAAGAAGGATCACGGCTCATAGTAAAACGAGTAGCCAAGTCGTCACGTTGGGTATTTGTGTCTCTCAAAGGCACTCGTCTGCCGCGAACCGGCAAAGTACAATAAGCAGGAAGTCGAGAGAAGCAATTTAGGTAACAAGAGGCAAAACTGGATGACTGCTTATCAGCTTACCAGCCCCGGGGTATCTGCGGTCGTCGGAGGACCCGCCGCTCATCGAGCGGCCAAGGCCGCTCCAATAAGAGTTCGGCCCGCGTTTGAGCACCGGCATCCCTCCCCCTCCTTCCCGAACCTATCTCCAGGTCCCAGCAAAACTGCAACGTCTGCCTATCAGATGATAACGGAACTTCTGCAACTTGAGCCGGGGTCGGGGGTAGGCCAGTGAGATAGACAGTTTTGACAAAACATGGGGTAATATAGTGCCGGGAAAGCTTCCTTGTCTTATCTGGAAACCGCGTCCCGTTGGGTAGGGCAGAGACAGAGAGAGAGATGTGACGATCCACGCCCTATATAGACCTGGCGGGAGCACATTGTGCCTGCTATCATGCAGCGGTGTTCTTTGTGATGCCCTCCGTTCAAGGACATTAGAAATCTTTGCATAGCCAATCGACAACATGATTTTTGGCAGCCTTGCCTTCGCGGCTCGCCATGAGCGAACGGCAGAGGAGAGGAAGCTGGTTAGGAGACTGGACATATTCTTGATGACTTTTGGTTGCATTTCGCAGGGTGAGTAGTTACGAAGATCCTTCATTTATGAGACCTGAGCTAACTCAACTTTCTAGTCATCAAATGTAAGTGATAGAACAACCTGGATTCAAGGGTAAGGGGCGGTCTGGTTAACGCTGATGTCAAGACCTTGACCAGACGAACATCAGCAACGCATACGTCTCTGGCATGAAAGAGGACCTCAACCTCTACGGCAACGAGCTCAACTAGTACGTCCAACCCCCCAAGAGCTACACTTCAGGACTCTCAACGCCAACCGACCTCTCATCTCAGCTTCACAACGTACTTCAACGTCGCCTACTGCATCATGCTCATCCCCTCCCAAATCATACTAACTTACGTACGACCGAGCTACTGGCTCTCTGGCCTCGAGGTTCTATGGGGTATCATCACAGGCATGATCGCCCTCACCAAGAACGCGCAACAAGTCTACGCGCTCCGCGTCCTGCTCGGCCTCTGCGAGAGCAGTGCCTGGCCCGGCATGATGACGCTGCTGATGCACTGGTACACCCCGTCCGAGTTGGCCAAGCGAATGGGATTCTACCACTCGTGTCAGGCGGTGGGCTCCATGATGTCGGGCGCGCTGCAAGTTGCCATTAGGAGCTCCATGCATGGGCTACACGGTATGGCCGGCTGGCGCTGGCTTTTCGTTGTGAATGCCATCATGACCGTGTGCGTCGGCGCTGCGGGCTTCTTCCTTCTTCCCGACACACCTAACAACCCCAACCCCCGCGCGTTCTGGTTTAAGAAGGGACACGCCGAGCTTGCTATGGAACGATTGGAGCGCCATGGTAAAGCAGAGCCCAAGAAGATGACATGGGCCGCTGCCAGGTTCGATGACCCCCCGATCCATCTTTTCAGCCGGTGACAGAGGGCTGACTAGGAACAGGCGTGCATTCAAGAGTTGGGTAATCTACTTTGTACCCGTCCTGTACATTGCGACTGTCCTCTTGTCGTATGGCAATAACTATTTCGGCCTGTTCCTGAAGGCTTTGAAGAATCCGGATGGGACCCCCAGGTGGTCGACGTCCGAGGTGAACGCCATTCCCATTGGTGGAAGTGCGATCAACGTGGTGTTCGGTATGTGTGAAATCCTTTGAAATCCGAAAGAAGAGCCGAGACTGATATGAGTTACAGTCTGGATCTGGGCAATCTTGTCGGACTTGTTCATGACACGATGGACTCTCATCGTTGTTCAGGGTAAGCATCGCCTCACACCCCCCTCTACTAGGACAAATCCTGTCTGACAACTTACACAGCTGTAATTGGCATTGCATGCTGTATCGCGATGAGCGTCTGGTCCTCACACCCAACCACGACACCGCTAGCCACGGCATACGCGTCCAACTTCATCCTCTTCACGGCAATGGGCACCGCGCCTCTCATCTTCGCATGGCTGGCCGACATTCTACCCCATGACCCCGAGGCGCGGACTCTCATCGTTGGAGTTGCCATTGCGGGATACTACGCCATCTCCGCCTGGTCGCAGGTTCTGGTATGGCCGGCCACTCAGGCACCATACTGTAAGTTTATTTCATCAGCCCAAACGCACAACGATCATTGCTCTGACCAGAAACAGACAAGTATGCATGGCAGTCAGCTATTGCCATCGGTGTTCTTGTCATTATCATGACATGTGTGCTTCGTTACATTGATGCAAAGCATCTCGAGTATGTTCATCCACCTACTCGATACCTAAGACAGCTTCTAACGACTCATGTAGGCCCAAGAGAGAGCAGTTCAGAGCCACTGTTATTGAGGCCGCCGAGGCGGGTGATAGGGACGCAGCGGATTCGATCGCTCGCGATTCCGTCGACCGGAAAGTGAAGTCGGCTGCTATTGTGCCGGAAGTCTGAGTTCGTGTCACTTGCCGGACTCGGGTAATCTCTAGACACTGGAACTCGTGGTCCCCTTAATGGATGTTGACTCACTGTACTCTGATATCAGTGGCCACAGATAAACTTGCAGTAATCAAATGGTAAAGATACATTCGACTCAGATAGATTTGAAGTTTTGGATTTTCTCTACCGCCATTGGGCATCATATACAGCCAACGTTTGGTATCATCACCTCGTTTTACTTACGGCATCAAATTCAATGATAGCTTGCTTCCTCGAGGACTAGAAATTTGCCAATAGATTACCACGAATGGCCGCCGTCATTGACCCATGCTCGTGATCTCCCCCTTTTGGTCTCAAAATTAATTCAGAGGCTCTCACATTCGTCACTTGGATCTGTTCGAGTTCAGGCTCTCCAGTGTACCCAGTTGAATCACCAAAGAGACAATAGGGGTTTCTGATCTATCAGATGAAAATATTAACCGTACTGGTCGTATTCTATATAGCTATCCTGGAGTACTTCAACCTACTTGAACATACGAATCCCTGTCCGATCGTTCGGTCATAAAGTCCCCTCTTGTTCCTGTTGGCAAAATGAGGCCCTTCGTGTTCATTTTCCACAGAAGTCAATGTGCGAAAGACCAAAGGCATTGATCTTATCAGTGCGCGTTCTCAGTACTTACTTAGCGCTTGATATTCTGATTCCCATAGAAAAAAACCGAACTTCAGGTCTTCAGTCATAAGCCTGCGGCCGACCGTTGAATCCTACACGGGGAGAAGAAGAAGGAACGACGCTGCGAGCCTCAAGTTACGCGATCCCTGTTTTGCCAACGGTCATAGTTGCCTCCAGGTGTATGCAAAAGCTCACCGCCACCGTCACATAGCAATGCTCATTGAGCGTACGCCAATACCCAAGCAAAACATCACAGACCGATAAAAAGGAAAGAGGGAAGGGATGGTGATGACTGACCTTATGATTCACGCTCCTGGCCAGAGTTTAACAGCGCGCGCCTCGGTCAACCCAGTCTCTGACTTCATTGGAGTATTTGTTTATCTAATCACTCGACCACCTCGCACACAGCTTGACCTGACCTCGCCGATCTAGACGGGCGCTGCTGTGCTGGTGATAGGAATGGTGATTAGACCCCTTAAGTAGGTCGGAACGTCACCTGGACAACTGTCTCGAGGAAGGAGGGACGTTCATATGGGAAAGTGCAAGGCGGCAGTTACCGGTAGGGGAGCAGTGATTGCCAGGCGCAGTTCTCACGGCACCAGGTTGACCAAATAGATTCTCTAGCTTTCGCCACTGAGACAAACTTCATTGTGATATTCTATAAAAATCTAGAATAATAGAATCTACCTATAAGTATCGTCATCATACAACGTGAAAACAATTGAGCTCCATCCATATTCTTAACCTTCAAGAGGAATGTAAGGAATTATGCTGCCATCGAGATCGAATACACCGAAGAATATCCTCAACTTCAAGTAAGGCCTTTGGTTCATTTATTTGACTGTCTACGCGGGCATTTCAGCTCGCATCGTTTCTCTGATAATAAGGTAGATTTCTTCATGCCGAGATAGCTAGCAGCTCATAATCGCCCATAGCCTAGCGTCGAGCAGGCAGGCAGTCCTGATACTCTAGGAAACATCGACAGAATTTGTAGCTGATAGAACAAGCAGAAAGGTATTGAATGTGTTCAGGACGTGTTACTGTTATGCCGCTTTGTAGCTGACCCGGACGTTCGTAAAGTAGCTGTCTCATGCGAAGTATTCCTCCTAGTACGTTCAAGGGCGGCGAGGTTCATGTAAACTATGTTGATATCATCTTTAATCACCAAGATGAAACTGTCTATACGGAAATGCCTGGATAAAGGTGACGATCAAGGCCTTTTAGCACCTACTGTGTTAACAGATATCAATCAAGTCGCGATCGCACTTTTCTTTCGAACCCTATTGTCAGACGAGCTTCGGGTCGTCCCAAGAGTAATGATACGGATTCATGTTGTTGTTCACCCAAACTTGAGAGTTTCACTACTGATTGAACGACGATGTTCGATGACGGAGCGACCTTACTGGTAACAGCTGCCCGATTGAAGCTCGGTTTCAAGATGATGATTACACTAAAATAAAATTGACCAAGTCTAGTCCCAAAACTTCGTTTTTGTGGCCTTTGGCCCGTCGACCTCTTCAAGACGTGCATGGAATAGTATTCGAGGGGGTTTCTCGGCAACAGTAAGCTAATACACATGCTTCCCGTTCCGTCGAAGACGGCAAACTTCAAAACTTCGAACAACGTAGGCAGAAAAGTTCGGTCTCAGTGCCCTTACTCATACTTGCTAAACCCTACCCGCCTTCGAGGCCTACTACATCTTGCCACCTAGAAGCGTATTTCTAGCCTCCCTTCGCTATCTTTAGCGTATTCAAACCATATTATACGTGAAGCAAGGAACAATAGTGATCTCTAGCTTATGAATTGCTCTTAGCAGTACCATGTATCGATCATCTGTTCTATACTCAATATAGCAAGCTTGAGAACCCGAGACGAACCTGTGGAGGTGGTCCGAAGACAATGTTGGACATTGGATTTATGAAGACCAATAGACGTTGTGACTTGAGCCAAGGTTCATTTCTCCCATGGTAACCTTCCCTTTGTACGAGATTCTGACCCGTTGCCACGTGTCTAGTTACCATCTCCTCAACATCCAAGTTCTCTTCTTCTGAGTACGCCTGCCTTCTCTGTTGAATCCGACGAGGCGGACGAGGGAGGTAGAATGATCTATTCTCTATGTATGATAATTTACAATGGTCTTTCTAATCGTAAGTAGGGAAATTTCCTTTCAACACCTATGTTCTGTTTAGTGAATTCACCCTCCTCATGAATTCTTACCCGGAGACCGATGATCAATGGCTGGACAGCAGGGCTCTGGCCGGCCATGGGCCGACTACTCATCCATTGTCGTTGCCAACAGAAAACAGTTTCAAGTGCGGCAGCCACGATGGCCTCTGATGGGCCATATGCTGGCAGGCGTAAACTCGTCTACCATGTAGAGCCCCATCTCAGTCGCACTACAACTGGTCCGGAAAGTCACCGGCCACGATTACCCATCCGGAGTCCATCAATAACGACATGGAACATTCTCCCTAAATCGCTCTTGCAACTCATCATTCATCCTCAAAAGACGAAACTCGGCTTCGCCGCTACATCGACCTTTTTGTACGACAAGAGCCCAAACCACCGCAAAAGTCGGCCCGGCTTCTTCGACGATTCACCAAACCCCAACCCTCACCGTCTACCGGCTACCGGCACGATGGACGATTAGATGTAACAAGAGCACTCAAACATAAAGAAGGGGGAAAAAAAAGGGACACTCAGATCATCAAGCGGATCTACCCCACCGTCAAGCAAAGCACTCACTTCATGCGCTTTTCCGGTGTGAATACTCCGGTGAGCCACTCACCTCGACAACATGTTTGCGGGACGCAAACCAGGCCCCCAATGTAGCGGGGGAAAATATCGCACACGCGAGGTGATGAAGAGAATTTTATCCCTTGCAAAGCGAAAAGGGAGAAAATTTCTCCCGTTGGTTTTCCTCTTGGCCCAGCGTCTCACGAGTGCTTCCAGATCTCGAGCACTGATCACACCCGTTCATGCTTACACCATGTTGACTAAAGACCGGTCTGTACAAAAAAAAAAAAAACACCTAACAAACCAACGAGCAAACTTGGGGCGACGAACACGAACCACCACGCGGCACCGACGACTTCTTCCAAAACCCCCGGGCCTCCCGTCCGTATGTGAAAAAAAAAGAGAGAAAGAGGATCCTAGCACAATCGATCTATTCGTGACCGCGTTCTCGCCTACAGAGGTTTATCTGAACTACTAACCGATCCCCCGAAGGACGGGAAGAACTTAAGAAGGAGTGGCGTGGGGGAGGGATGGGGTCATGGAACCGAAGAAGACAGAGATCAGGGGTTTGAGAGCAAGGCCCCCTTCCTCTCTCTCTTTTCTTTCTTTCTCGGAATCTGCGCCGTGAACCCCCCAGTCCTTCTCAAACGAACAGGTCCCGAAACCTCTTTCGGAGGGGCCGTGGAATTTGGGAACCCTTTAAGTCTATCTTATATGAATCTACCCATAATTTGAAGGAGAAAAAGTAATCCGTCGCGTCGTGATGTGGAATCCTGGCGCGGGCGGCGATGAGCAACAGTGAGGCTAGGCCAGATAGCTCTGCACCTCGCATCTTGCATGCAACGCGCTAGGTGCTGCTGGTATACCCAGGACTAGGCCACCCGAATCCGAGGACCCCAGGTTTCGACATCATTTGACCTTTTTTTCAACAACTTTGACGAACAAGCTAATGTAAAGACAAGAGGTAAGTGCAACAGTGGGCAGAAAAAGTGAAGGAGAGGGGGATATAGAAAGGGAGCATGCGAGCATGAGACGTTTGATCGGATGTGCCATCCATAGTTAGGGCGATCTTATCAAGGCGGGTTTCTAATTGAGGGACGGGACTTTGTTCCAACTTTGCAGTACTCTTTTTTCTCTCTGCTTGGACCGAAGCACGGACGATAGGCCACTTTACAAGCATAATCAACCGAACAGGCCTTCTTTGAAGCCCGCTTCTTTCGAGTGAATGAACTCGGAGGAGGATCTCAATCAAGTGCGGCGGAGTTCTCTTACGCGACAGGGCTGGGTTGTTGGTCGCCGGCTGTGGCTTCGGACAAGACTCCGAGTTGCAAAACCATGGGATGTTCGTGGTAAGTAAGCTTTGGTGCCAGCGGGGGTCTGGATGGGCTCCAGGTGCTGTAAGTGTATCAGTACGGGAAGCGTGGACAGGCAGGGCTGAAACGAGACTACGGGCGATGAACCGTCAGTACGGGATATTCTCCCTCGACTACGAATCAGTTCTGAGGGTCCTTGAATGACCTCGGCATCTGTTCGCTGGACATGCAAGGCTCATGTCGCTTTGCCAGGTTTGAAAAGCGTAAGCGCAACTTTGAAGACCTGACACTACCTAAAGTATGTTGTCAATCATATCACATTTCGCACCTGTCCACTCGAGGAATTTCCTTTGATGGCCACGCGACCAGCTGTGAATACCGAGGCATGCGAGGGTGTGGGATAACGGGGATTTTGACCAGCCCGCCTGGGGAGGAAGCAAGCATTCTGAATGGGTGATTTCTATCAAAATTAGCATGGGTGATGGCGATATCTGCCTGCCCTATCAGTAGTATGTAGCGAATGGTGATCAGCGTGCAGGAACAAGGCGCGCACGTTCTCAGGATGGTGCGATGCGCCGAAGTCATGTCCAGTAAGGGGCGGGGGGGGGGGGGGGGGGGGGGGGGGAGGGGGGGGGGGGGGGGGGGTGCCCCAGGGAGAGGGTGGGGGGGGTGCGGGGGGGGGGGGGGCGGGGGGGGGGGGGGGGGGGGGGGGGGGGGGGGGGGGCGTGGGGGGGGGGGGGGGGTGGGGGGGGGGGGGGGGGCAGAAGGGATCCGGTGCTGGGTGAGAAGCTAGCCCCGAAGCTCATAGTCGTGAGTACCGACCTGGTCAATTTGGAGAGTACCATCAAGCATCGGGCGAGACGACCATTCACAGAAGAGAAGTGTAAGACGGAAGTTTGATGTGATCACGAGTCGTCCAAGTGAGGCTCTTAATCAGGTCTTTTGCCACTATTGCAAGAAAGGCAAGGTAGTCAGGATGCCTGACTCTCGTTACATCCTCCTCCTCGGTATCGTGGACGGTGATTGTGAGAGGTGCGGGAGACGGACGACAGCATTTCGGCCGGCAGAAGATGGCTTTCGGAGGGCGCGGGCGCAGGCGCAGATCTGCGGGCGCGGGATTGAGGCCGACCCAGTCTCGGAAGTGAAATCTACGGCCGGGCATCTGAGTAGGCGGGGAACCGGTGTCATGTCAATTTGTTGGCAACTCATGTAAGTCATTGATTTAGGAGTCTCATGACTCTGCACAATCGTAGGACCTGCAGGCAGTACAGCTTGTGCCTCTAGTGTCTACAGTAGAATCAAAAGAAACACTATCGAGAAGCATTCGAAGTCGAAACGGCGATGGGTTACTTTAGGCCCCCAAAAGCCGAAGTAAGGCAATCTAGGGATAACATGTCGGGTGGTCGGATTGACACCGTTGTATCCCTACTAAGGTAGAGAGAGTGAGGGGGTTGCAAGGGGATGAATGCAACCACTTCCTTTCTCTATAGAGTATAGACTGCTCTGTCTTCCACAGACGTACCAACCACATCGGCCAGCGATGAGTCGGAGGGGTTGGAAGATCCCATCTTTGGGGGCGGGTTGAGTTTCTATTGGTAAGTGGGCAAGAGCTGAGATGAACCATGGTTGCAGGGGCGATACGACTGAAGTTGCACGTGGTGGCTGGAAAAAGGTGAAAGGAACCAGCCCGCCTTGCTCGCGGACGATCAGGAGACTATTCGCCCCAGACAGCGAGATTCCTTCCACGGCGAACCATCGTAGGAGCCCAAGAGCTTTGACCGAGGAGCTGAAGCCATCCCCCACTATGGACAAATCCCCGGAGGACTCGGCGGCTTGCTGCTTGCACACTCAAGCAGCCAGTAGCATGGATTTGCCAAGGGTGCAGAATATAGGTGAAATGATCTGGATAGATGGACAACAGAATAGCTCATAGTATGCGTAAATATCACTGGCTTGACCTCAAGGCCAGGGAGACGGATAAGAGAGAGAAGCTATAACTCTATAGGAAGGTCGACGAGATGCACAGGCATCGCCTGCAAGCCAAGGAACAAGACTCACCGAGCGCAGCGGTGTCGGTCAAGATTCTGCCGTCAAAGATGGGAAGAACTCAAATGCATCGGCCCATCGTTTTCATATTCGGTATCGTTTTCAACCCCTCTGTTTTGGTCGCAAACGGTACAGTCCCTTCCCACTCTACCATCATAAGAAGGGTTGGGTAAGGCCAAATGGGCCCATCTGGCCTTGTGCGTCGTGGGTGGCAGGCTTAGAAGCGAAACGTGACACGTTGGCTTCGAACGAAGCATACGCAGCAGTGTCTCCCATCAGCCCTCTCTGCAAAAGCAGACCTCGGATACCGGAGTTTCGCCGACGTGCAGGTAAGAAGGGGAACTTCGGTCATCCCCCGGAAACTATCAGCGAGGCAGTAACCCCGTCACGGCCATGTCTGTGGGAACGATTGCAGTAGCCCATTGCGAGGTTGAGTGGTGATGGGAATCCTTCCCTCTTGATTGGAAGTTGGGACAAATGTGACCAAGTATTTCTGGTCCAACCATGAAAGGAAAGCGAGAGGACAGAGCTCTACTCTGAACAGCATGTACCCAGTTGTGGGAACATCAAATCTCGGCGGTGCAGGCTCTGAGGAGGAGGGCCTCGACTGACTACACTACTGCAGATAGCTGCGGGTTTGCAGCCGCAGTTGCACGGAATGTCCTTGCAGTCTGGTACTCGTCCGCGGACGTGCGAGATAAGCGGTAGATTCCCTGCCGTCTGATTACCGCGTCGAGCCACTTCGCATCATGTTGAACGTTCTTCTTGAGTCAATATGTTGCTGATGTTGAGCCAGGCAACGGCGCTCGTCACGAAGAAACAACCTGAGAATGCGCGTAGGCTTTGTCGACTCCTGCTGGTGTATTGGATGAGGTGTGTGTGTGAAAGTGGGATGGGTTGAACGCTCAGCCAGCCACGACGAGCTCTGGCAGGGCGGGACAGGGTAAACTCGGGCGTACGACAGGCCAGGGACCAGTCAGGTATGCGGAGTCCACAGGGAAACAAAAACGATAGTCGTATGGATGCGGGTACAGAGTGAGGCTTCTTTTTGTTCTTTCTCCGTCTCTCCATTACTTCTGGAAGACACGAAGAAGGAATGGATCATGGATCATCGGCGATATTGCGACATGTGGGTAACAATCTGCGATCAGGGCAAGCACAGGCACAGGCCTACGGGCCTTGTTTGCCATGATTGCTATGTGCTGAGAGGAGTGGGCAACATGTGGATTCCTTGCGTGGCAGGCTGGACCCAGCTCGCACGAGGAGAGGATCGGCAGTGCGAGTCGTGAGCTTCTCAAGAACGACCCTTTTGGCCAGGGAGATGGATGGGCATCTTCCTACAGATACCCGCCGGTACCAAGGATGAGATCTCGGGAGAAGAGTTGACCAGGGCGTAACGGCGATAAACACAATCAACGGCTGATTGAGCGGTGCGCATTGGGCAACTACACGTAGAGAGTGTTTGAGTGTGTATAGATGTCATGGCGATCTTTGGTTGCAGAGTTGAAGCGAAAACCGAAGTAGTTGTGGCGGACAGAACCCAGCGCATGCAGCGTCAGTAATGACGGCGACTTGAGACGAGAGCGTCTACCTTGAAGGCACAGGTGGGTACTTGAGAGGGGTACGACGGAATAGACTGCGACAATCGACCAAAGACGGAGGGAACTGGGCAAGCTAGCTGGCCTAGAGGGCAATATGTGTTAGAAGTGTTCGGATGCGGTGGTTAGGAACGAGATGGCATGGAAGACAAGATACCTACTACTGCGCTGTATAGCAGGGAGTTGGAGTTCTCAAATTTGCAACCTGGGAGACCACAAAATGCCATGTGCGTGGAGCACTGGAAGCCCAAGTTACCGACCTGGTGGGCTGAAATGTGGTATTGAATCCTGCTTTCGCTTCCCTGGCCAGAGGTTCCGCATTCCATTCAGGTTGATTGGGGGATGCAGCAGAAGAACCCCAAGATGGTTCAGGACGGTTCTTTGGGGCTTTTTGCACAGTGGCAGACTCATACAGGGTCCAACCAGGGGGCGTTGGAGGTCGGATGTCGTGGGATATCGCATGCAGCGCTCCGTATCCGTAGCTACCTTGAGTTAGGTATCTACATGGTAGGTAAAAGATAGACAGCGCTTACGAATGACCGACGTGCATTTGGACGCTGGAGTTCTGGACCAACCTTTCGGCTCCCTCTGAGAAATTCCATCTGCGTGCTTGGTGCTTGCTTGCCTGTATGCTCTGAAGTTTGACAGTGACACCCGCGCGGCGACCGCACGGAGGGGAAGGAGGACGACTCAATGCTTGCTCATTCTCGTGCGTTCCCAGCAGTCGGGCTGGGTGCGTATGTGCGTACCTGGGCCATGCCACCCGTCTGCCTGGTTGCTGAGTTGAGGGTTGGGGAATTGAGGTTAAGGGTTGAGTCATATAAGGTAGGTAGGTAGGTATCTTCACTCCCGTCTCCTGCATCTGTTGTACAAGGTGGGAATGGAAGCCACGACCCGGATTGCGAGACTTTTGGGTTCGTCACCTTGAGAACCTTCCGATGATCGACCTTAGTCACCGAGGTAGGTAGGTGGCTTGCCTGTGCACCTGCCCGAGGTGCGTCGAAAAATTGCTATGCGATCGTGGCTGTTGAAGTCGGGTCTCGAGGGTCGAGGAACGCGTCTCAGAACGGCAGGCACGCCTCGCAGCTCGCAGGCGGGTTCAAAATGGAAGCAGCCACCAAGGCGTCATCCAGCAGATGGTTGCGCCAGTCAGAGACGGCGGCGGGCGGGAAGGTGGGTGCCGGTGTGCCACGGCGCAGACGCTCAGGTGCTTCTTTCCACCCCTCGTGCCCTTCCCTTCTTGCCTACCTTACCTGGGTGCTTCTTACCTGACTTTGGGGGGAGAAGGGTGGGAGCCTGAGGTAGTACCCGCGACTTGGAGAGGTACCGCGATACCTCGACCTAGAGAGGCACCTTGCCTTACATGGATTTCCTGCCTGAGGCACAGAACATAGCAGAGAGGTGGTCGACGGGATTGGTCAAGGTACCGGGGTACGGATGCGCTACCTTCCACCTTCCACCTTCCACGGACGCCGACCCCCTCCCCCTGCCCTTGCTTTTGACGTGCTTCTCCCCTGCAAACCCTGTTCCCAGTGGTTCCAGTCGCCATCCCCGGTGCGCCCCTCGACTGCATGGCAAAGTGGCTCCGAAGAAGGCTTCGTGGGCTTCCACACTTTCGATCGATGTTCGAGAAGGCGGCCAGAAGAGTGGACGCAGGACCCTGTCCCTTTCCCCCGCCGCTGGCCCCTTGCCTGCTCGTCGCTGCCCTGCTGGCCCCCCTCACACACATGAGATAAGCACCACCAGCCCGAAAACTGCAGCGGCCGATCAGTGATGCATTGCCTCGCACTACAATCTCACCAACTACGTCGACCTTACCACGGCCAATCCATTCGCCCATCCATTTCATATTATCCCTCCATCAAGGAATCAGATGAGTCCATCACCACCAGTCGCTCCTCCAATGTTAAAAAGCTGACACGCTCATAGCTTTCTGGAGTGAACACAAGGCGAGAGTTTGACGACCATCGGCACCTACCCACAGGAATGGATACGCAGGTTGGTCAGCCACTGCGGGACAAGGTACCCTTCTGCAAGTATCTTCTCCCCCCCCCCTCCGTCATCGTCCCATGCCTGCCAGGGGCTTAGGCTTGTCTGAATCCAGATCTGACATTCTGATTCCGACGGGCACTGACATTCTGAGTCCGACAAAGTATTCCCTCCGCCTTGCCTTGCACCCCAGGCCCTGACCTGAGCCGACTCTACGCTGCTACAGCCTACGGACACTACTAGCACTTGATTTCCGGCCGGCCAGCTGCCTACCAGGCTATTCAGCACGAGCGCTAGCCGTCCGGCACCTTCGCTCTGTGCGTCTCAGCGCGAGATGCCTATCAGATAACTCGGTCGAATAGGTCTCTAATTGTCCGCTTTGTCCTTGGCCCGCATTCATCGTATTTTCACTCACGCTCCGTGCCTTCGATCTGTTTTTGTTGTCGACTTTTGGTCCGAGTCGAATCGCGTTGATATTTAGTACCTGCGCAGGACAACTCCATGCTCGGCACGGCGATACATGCTTTGCAGAATACAGTCAACACGAACAAGGGTCGGATCTAGAGCTGCCCGTCTTGGCATGCCGTTGTTTGTGACGAATCTTGGGCCGGAGGGAATGCTTCTGTTGCATCTGCGCCAGATTCTTAAGCGAGAAGAAAAGGGCAGAGACAGAACCGTCACCAGAGAGACTTGTTCCCAATAAGCGCCCCTTTCTTGACTCCAAGCTAAGGTAAGGTATCTGTGGTCTGAAGCATGTCGCTTGGAAGCCCAGCCGTGCCCTGGCTCATCTGGCGTTGCAGTCACATTCAACACTCCCGTCTCGAGGCCGCAGTGAACCTAGGCTCTTTCCTTCTTTTCTCACTCACGAAACTAGGATCGGGATTGAAAACCAGCACGGAATTATGTAATGTTTGGTCCGAGCTGAGCTATTTGGGCTGGAGATGTCTCTGTCTTCACCTCTCCTACTCCGGCGTTACTGGGTCAATCACCTACTGGAGTTTCGACTGGACATATTTCCTTCTCTTTCCATTCTTTCTGTCCCTATTCTGGGAAAAGAGCAACAAGCAGATGCCTGGGTTGTCATATGGGTTACCGGCATGCTTTTCTTTTGGCGCTTTTCTCTGCTTCCATCCACTCCTCCCAAGTTCGCAGCGCCGAGCAATCCTTGGCTCTGGAAGACAGGCGCAACTTACGCTAAAGTAAAAGAGGCCACGCCAGACCTGATTCGAAGTGACCTCGTCCTCTGAGTGTAGGCAAGTAAGGTACAGTGTAAGATGTCCGTACCTTGTGGGGAGAAAAGACTCGGGCTTCCATTCCTTCCGTCATCATGGAAGGCTACAGGTATATGGTGCACTCCACACACGAAGCATACCAACTTGCACCATACACCTCACCGGATTCACACCTTCCACACACCTCCGAGTCCCAGTTGCCTGTCATTGGATTGCTTACAACCGCCACCATCTACTCTTTCTGCTCCTATGTCAATCTGAGCCGCATTCGCAATTTCCTCACCTGTTTCTCGCCTCGTTTCTTTTGGCTAGTCCGTTTGCTTCTCCAGAAAAATCTCACAGACACTGGACCGGAGCGCTACATTTCCTTGACATGATATCTCATGTTCCTTGGTACGTCTGCGTGGCCCGGTAGATAGACTGCCGGCAAAGAGAAGATGACGAAAAAAGAGCTCCCATTCTTCAGAAACTGGACTAGAGAAATAAAAAAGACGCCAACACCACAAACACTCTTAGTGCCGAGGACTCAGTCGCCTCCCCCACCTCACTTACTCATTCGATCAAACTTTACGTCGCCACTTCAGGGCACAAGAAGAAAAGACTCTGTCTGTGGTGAGTGCATGTTACCATGCTAGCCCGGAGTCAAGTTACACTCCTCTAGCTTTTCCATAGTTTAGAGAGCTTCGAGTTCTGTTTCTTGTTCTCTCCCGCCTTGCTTTGTTGGGCAAAGTATGTAATACTTGCGATCCCGTTCTGTCACCGGAAACTGGGTGCCTAGGGTATGTTAGGTAGGGTGATGGGAGGGCATGCACGGCCTACACTCTGTAGTCGGTACAATGACCTCCCAACTCATGGTAAACTAGGGTCTCGTGAGTTGGTCTCTCAGGTGCCTTGCCGTTGCTGAGAGATGGCAATTATTACAATGGTGACTGTGAGGTATGCACTGAGGTGAGGTGGAAGGGGAAAGGCACAGGCAAAGCAAGGTGCCTTGTACTCGATAACGTACATTACTTTACCTGGCCTTCTCGATCTCGGCAGTCTTTTTTCCCGTCCTTTTTTTTTTTTTCCATTTCGCAAGCAGCAATTTTTAGGGCCAACTTGGGAGTACGCTCTCATCCACTGGAAGTACGGAGTACCTGCTGCGTGGTGCGTACGCCCATGGTGCCCTTTTCTGCCCACCTACCCACCCAACCCATACACCCTCCACACCTCACATGCACACCACACATTCCCAGTGCCTGCTGCTGCTGCTGCTGCTTGCTACCTATTGTGTGCTTCTACTGCTGGTGCTGGTGCTAGGTACTTACTGACCTTGCCCGAGGCTGCTTGCCGCAACCTGCACCGCACCCGCACCCGCACCCGCAACTGCAACTGCAACCACCTCTCAGGGCAGAGCCTGGGGCTGTCTCTCTCGTCTCTCCCGTTGTCTCTCCTCCCGTCCCCGTCTGGGCTGTCTGTCTCCCACTCACTCGAGGCCCTCTTTCGCACCCGGTACATCCACCCACCCCCCCTTGCGTTGCTTAACAATTTCGTACTCGACCCGGTCCATTGTACTTTCGTACTCTCCTCCCAGTCCCAGTCCTCCAAGGACCCAAACTCCAATCCTCCCCGTCCCAGCTGGCCGCCCAGTCGCCCTCTTTCCTTTCTTCCCACTTCACGCCCGTTCGTCCCAGCCCTTGTTGTACGTAGCCTACCCTTCATGATATCACGTACACTTGTCGTCGCTTCCCTCTTGTGCTCCGCTTCTCTGTCGCCCAATTCTGCAATCTTTTCCTCCTCTCATTCTCCTCCTATGCCAGACTGACCAGGAAAAAAAGACTTTGCTCGTTATCAACAGCGCCAGCATACCGAAGCCTCCACCCTTCGTCTCGAGTACATACGAACTTTCCGCGCGACGGTACCCGCAACTGCGAAACGACAAATCCCCCCTCTCTCGATCGCCCCTACTCACACAAAAACCCAAAAGGATCCGTACACGCCTCGACTTTAGGAACAAACATCACGTCCATGATCTCGGCCAATCCGATTTCGTGCGACTACCATCGATGCCAATCCTGGTGACCGTCGGAACCACCGCGCTACCGCTGCTTCCTCGCCCGCACTTGGTGAAGTACCATTCATGAGATTCCTGGTCGACACCCCGATCACATCTTGCCTTCCAATCTCGACGACTTTATCACGAAGCCTGCTTCATTGAATCATTCGTTGCGCATTGCCCATCTACCTGGACACCGAAGGCGTTGCGCCACCGTGCTGCTTCTCGACAGGACTGGGTCGCCGTCCTCGACTTGTCCCGCTGCGAAAGCTCAAGAATTGCAAGTTTGATCAATCGCATCGTTACGCTCGTAGATCTTCTTTGCCCTTGTGGCCAGAGCGCTCCGGTCGCGAGACTGGTTGCTCCCTAAAGCCATGATGGACAATGCCACTTGCCATGTCGTCTACGTGAACCGCCAGGTTCGCCAGGACAGGCTTATCCGACCTAATACGCAAAATGATCAGCCATTAGACGCTGCCGACTCCGTCGTGCAGGAGGATGATGATATTCAGAAGGATGCAGATCTGCTACTGGACACTTTTGGAGAAGGTAGGCTCAGACTGAATATCATACACTCGTGGCATCGTGTACTAATTATATGTTCAGTTTATCTTTGTTCCACAGGCTCGGCCTGCATATCTACCCTCTTCCAGCTTTCGGACGAGTCTATGATGGACCTTACGCCAACTCTGGTTCTAATTGATGTGCCCCACGACGAACGGCTACCCAGAATCCGGTCTCGGTCTAGATCACCATCGCCGCACTCCCGCCCGACTACCGCTGACATAAACATTCACACTCCCGAGGAGGATGTCTACGGCCTCAAATTGCTGCAAAGGATCATGACCGAGTCGCATCTGCGCAGCTTATCAAAGCTGATCGTGCCGATACCCATTGTGAGCTTTTCGCCTACCGAATATGGTAGCGCAACGATTCCGGCTAGCGACGATGCGAAACCCAAGTCTTCGGCGTCAGTGGACCGACGCCTGATCATTCGGTGCCTAGACCTAGGAGCCGTGGACGTCATCATCAGCCCTTTACACCTCAAATGCATCACGAGTCTCGAGATCCATGCTTATCGGGCGCATAAGGATGCGGCCCGTGAACAGCAGGAAATGCTCGAAGTACGGCGCGGCAGAAAACGGTCATGGGTTGGGGTGAACGAGGAGAAACCGTTTTCCTACCTCAGGGAAGCCATGGTATCCGGTCTCATGAGGGGCATCTGTCGGTCAGGCGCGGATTCTGACGACGATCGGATCTCCAACGTTAGCATTGCCGTTTCCACCGATCGCCAAGCCGCTGTCGCTGCCGCCGTTGGTCAGTGGCACTTTTGCGCGCACAGTTTCACAGATGACGAGCTCCTTGTTGCGGCCATGGTGATGTTCAAGCATGCCTTGACAATGCCCGAGTTGGATCGCTGGCGGATACCGACAGGTGAGTACATTGCGCCTACATAAGCCATGCGCGGACGGCTGCTGACGATTTGACTAGACCAACTCATAAGCTTTCTGGTCGCTTGCCGGGCTGCATACAACAATTTTGTCCCTTATCATAACTTCCGCCATGTTGTTGATGTTCTACAGGCTACTTTTCACTTCCTGGTTCGTGTTGGTATTCTTGCGCCATATCCCGCCGATCCCTTGGTGGATCAAGATCCACCGCAGAGCTCCCCAATGGCAAAGCTGCTCCATCCGTTTGACGGCTTGACGCTTTTGATTACGGCAATCGGACATGATGTAGGCCACCCAGGTGTCAACAACGGATTTTTGGTCACTCTCAATGCCCCTCTGGCACAGTTGTACAATGATCGATCCGTGCTCGAGTCGTTCCATTGCGCCGCCTACTCACAGATCCTTCGGCGATATTGGCCAAGCGCTTTCGAAGATACCAAGATGCGGCACCTTATGATCAGCTCCATCCTTGCCACGGACATGGGCCTGCACTTTGATTACATGAAAAGGCTCGGAGATACCCAGGACAAACTGGACGTCGACAACACAACTGATGGTTGGAATGGTCGTATGCAAGAGGAGCAAAAGGCTCTCGTATGTTCACTTCTCATCAAGTGTGCAGACATCAGCAACGTGGTCAGTAGTTCACAATTTCTCGTGTTCAAGTTCGACTACTAACCCAACGGCTTATAGGCAAGGAAGCACGAGACCGCACTGAAGTGGATGTACATTCTTTCGGACGAGTTCTCTCGACAAGCTTCCATGGAGAGTGAGCTAGAAATTACGTCGTCTCTCCTGTCGCCTCCGAAGAAGGACTTGATCTCACTGTCTAAGGCCCAGCTGAGCTTCATGAACCTATTCGCCATCCCCCTTTTCCAGGGAGTGGCGGACATTTTGCCAGCAATGAAATACACAGTTGACGAGCTCGAAATCAATAAAGGTCTTTTCGAGCAACGGATCAGGGAAGAGCAGGCGAAGGAGGATCCTATCCGCAAGAGACTTTTGCGCAACGACGGCGCCTTCTCCCCACGAACTATGAGTTTGGCCGGCGGGCCTGAAGGAAGCAGAGACTCCATGACCCCGCGGGTGACGACGCCTCTGACCGAGCTTACTATGCCGCCCCCGCTGCTTGACGACTTGAAGCAGGAAGATGATGGGCTGTCCCAGGAGCCAGCGGGCTCGGAGCACACGACAGCGCTCATCACTGATATGTCGGAGCCGGAGGACCCTAAGGAGGTGAACGGCATCGTGACGTCTTTTGATTCCGTGGCGGACTTTGCAGCAAGCGATCCATTCCACTGCAGGGACAGGGCTAGTAGTTCGCCGGACAATCATCACGGCCATAACGGCAAGCAGCGGTGCAGCGAGACGACGGACGGCAGCACTACGGGCCCGTACACTGGGGACTGGGCCTCACAGGCAACGAGTGCCACCACCGGCAAGATGCCTCTGTCGCCGAGCACTCAAGGCACTAGCATTGTCAGCAGAGAGTCGACGGAGCAGCTTCCAGGCGTACCCACGATCTCGGAGCCAAAGCCATTCGCCGAAGTCAAGCCCGAATCTACGTTCCTGGATCACGACGCCAACGGACCTCACTACGACGCCAACGGCTCTCACTTGTCGAACGGGTCTTTGGGCAAAACAGAAGGCGGCAAGGTTGTGAAGAAGAAATCTAGTAGATTCCGCATGAATGCCTTCCAGTTCTTTCGGCGGAACCGAGCGTCGAGCCCGTCCATGTCAGCGGCCGACGCAGCTACCTGATAAACCAGGGATTTTGAGCGAGACGAGCCGATTCTGGCATCTACATTCGAATGGTGCGGCACAGGCACAGGAAAGCTACGACTGTGGTGGCTCACGCAGATTTCCCAGCGATCGATATACCCGAGCCACCACAGAGTTGTTAATCTAATCGCGATCCGAGATGACAGGAGCAGCGCCACAGTCGAACAAAAGAATTGTAAAGCACAGTATACGGAACTCGCAAGTTATGTACAGTATGGGGATGGAGTTAATGCGTATTGGGTGTTTGAGTGCTTCGCCTACATTGGCGGCGATAACGAGGGGAATACGGCCGCGCAAGTCATGAGCTGGATGGCAAAGCCTACGACATTGCTCTTCCGGGGTCTCGACCGCCTGCTCATAAGCAGGC